AGTTGATAAAGGTTCAGAGTTGAGGTGGCGCAGTGGTTGGAGTGCAGCATTGCAGGCTACTTCAGCTGACTGCAGTTCTGCAGTTCGGCTGTTCAAATCTCACCGGCTCAAAGGTTGACTCAGCCTTCCATCCTTCCGAGGTGGGTGAAATGAGGACCCGGATTGTTGTTGGGGGCCGATATGCTGACTCTGTAAACCGCCTAGAGAGGGCTGAAAGCCCTATGAAGCGGTAGATAAGTCTAACTGCTATTGCTATTGTAAATATGTGACTGTGAAGTGCTGTGACAGCTGCAACTTCAAGAACCAGCCATAAGTACCAATTGTTCAATGCCGTCATAACTGTCAGTGGTTGCTGAATGAGTAGTTAATTATAAATAATCTGAAGACAACCTGTAGTATTACCTTACAATTGACATTCAATACAGAAATTGGTCTTATATGACTGAGATTTTTTAAATTGTTCTTATGCATTAATATTGTATATATTATTGTATATTGCTCCAGTTGATGCAAAATGCAGCGGCCTGCATGGTTTTGTGCAGACCCCGGTGTGCACATATGTCACCTCTTCTGCGTGAGCTGCATTGCTGATTTGCTTACGGGTGCATTCAAGGTGCTGGTTGACACCTTTAAAGCCCTTCATGGCTTGGGACCAGGTTATCTGAGGGACTGTCTCTTGCCGGTCACATCTACCCGACCCATCAGAGTGGGGAAGCAGGGAACGTTGTGAGTCCCATCTCTGAGGGAGATACACCTGGAAGGACCCAGAAGAAGGGCCTTCTCCGTGATGGCTCCCTCTCTCCGGAACATGATTCCTCCAGAGATTAGAATGGTCTCCACTCTAATACTCTTATGGAAAGCGCTGAAAACCTGATTGTGGTAGTGGGCCTGTGGAACCCAGAGCACGATGGAGCCTAATAAATGGCTTATGTCATCTGCTGTCGCCGGGGCAGGAGGTGATTTTGTTATAAAAATATATACTATATTTTTTGATTCTTTTTGTTAGTTTTTATTGTTTTAAATGTGGTCTTTATTCTGTAAGCCGCCTTGAGTTGCCATGGGCAAATAGGCAGCAATATAAATTCAATAAATAAACAAACAAATAAACAAACAAATAAATAAGCAAGCTTTTTTCCAAGTTTTTGTTATTTGAATTGCGTTCATTTTCTTCAACAATGGTTCACTATTTCCTCTTCTAGTTTTTTTATATATTATAGAGCTGTCAGCCCATCTGTGTAAAATGCCTTATTTATTAAACACATCCATAAAGCATTAGCTGTTCAGTTCACATGCCAGCAAAAAATATTGCCAACTAACACATCTCAATTTAACCTGATTAAAAAATCTCAACTATTTCTTTATTTAGATATAATATTTCTTAACTGCCCATCTCTCTTCATATTATATAACTTTATATTTCTTCTAATAATCTTTATCTTTAACATCCTTTGCATATTATCATAGGATTCAATTTCTTTCCAATTATTTGTTACGTTGCACAAATTTCAAGGCTTTAATAGGCCTTTTTTGTGAATGCAATTAAAAAAAGTTATCTAGGTCATGCTCTTCATTTGTTTTTTTCTTTTGATTTTTAAAACCTCATCCATTTTCTTTTGTATTTCCAGTAAAGCATCCTTTTCCATGGTACCCTCTTGGTCTTTTATTTGTAAATCCACTTTTGGTACCACCTAGGTAGGTTTTGAAAAATTAAAAAAGCTTCATAAGGAAGAACTAATTGAAATAAATGTTACAGAATGTAATTGCTCTGTCTAGTAAGTTATTCGTTGAGCAACAAAGGTTTATTTAAAGAAATTTAAATAGTTTTCATTTTTTTATTTTTATAACAACAATCTAAAGAGCTTTGTATAGCTTTGTAGCAGAGATCCCAATGTTTCCCATGTATTTTAATATTTTTAAAATATTGTTTTAATATTTTATTTACTTTAATTTTATTTTTAATTTTAATATTTTTAAAATTAAAATTATGCTTTTAGTCAAATGTTCTATACTTTTCCATATGGATTGCCACTTTACCCACTTTCGTGGCCCTCAGATGAGGAGCATTGGCACTGCCACTTACATACAAAAAAGGGATTTTTCTTCGTTAACATGCAACATTTTGAAAGTGAATCTGAATCATTATTCAGACCCAGAACTGCCATGGGTATATACGTTTGTATTTTATTTTATGTTACATTTTGTATGTGAATCTTTTGTTAGCATTTGTTTTCTTTCAGACTTTCCTCACTGATTGCAGTTTACATTATTGGAGGATTCCTCTACCAGCGTCTAATAGTAGGAGCAAAGGGCATGGAGCAGTTTCCCCATTTTGCTTTCTGGCAAGATCTTGGCAATCTAGTAGCTGTAAGTGTATTTTAGGTTATATGGATACGGATAATCTTCAGTTAACAACTGGATCTGGAACTTCCACCACTAAGTGATGCACGTGTAAAGTGTGACCTCGTGTGACTATAAAGGTCGTGACAATTTATGTTAAGTGAGACATTTAAGTGAATTTGCAATCTTTCTTGCCACAGTTAAATGAATCACTGCAGTTGATAAGCCAGTAAGCCAGCTGCTAAGTCGTGAATGTGGCTTCCACACTGACTTTGCTTGTCAAAGTTACAAAAGATGATCACGTGACCTTAGGGAAAAGCAACGGCCATAAATAGGAATCAGTATAATTATTTATGAGATTGAAACTCAGTTGTTGACTCAAGAAAAAAGAATAGGATAGAAGGGTATGTTATATGAGTTCACGCTCATCATTTGAAGAATCTTAATTATGGGTACATTTCACTGTACTCTCTTTGGTTCATTCAAATAAGTAAATATTGGGTTATTAAAAGAACGTGAATTAAGAAAGGGCTCTTTCCAAGGCTGCATCAATCTAAGATCAGAGATCCAAACTCCTAGTATACTTTTGGTAGAAATATTCTATTAAGGAAGGCTGAAGATGTTACTTTTGGCATGTATAATGAGCCTTTTAGAACACAGAAGGTAGAATAATAGAATTGGGAAGAACCTTGGAAGTCAGTCCAAACCTTTGCTGAAGCAGGAGACCCTCCTCTACGGGTAGGGTGACTTATCCTTATGACAATTGAGCCCAAAATTTATGTTGCTAAGTGAGACATTTGCTAAGTGAATTTTACCCCAGTTTATGGACTTTCTTGCCACAGTTTTTATGTGAATCACCGTAGTTAAGTTAGGAACTCAGTTGTTAAGTGAATCTGGCTCCCCCATTGGTTTTTCTAGTCAAAATGTGCAAAGGGGGATCACGTGACTCCAGGACATTGCAACTGTCGTAAACATGAGTCAGTTGCCAAGTGCCTCAGTTTCGATCACATGATCTTGAGGATGCTGCAAGGGTCATAAGTTTGAAAAATGGTTATACATCCCCTTTTTCAGTGCTGTTGTAGCTTTGAACAATCCCTAAATGAACTGTTGTAAGCCAGGGACTCCCTGTGCCATTCTGGAAAAATGGCTGTGCAGTCTCTTCTTGAAAGTGATGGTGCATCCACACAACTTCTGAAGTTCCACTGATGAATTGTTCCGTCAGGCGGTTTCTCCTTAGTTGTAGGTTGGGTCTCCAATGAGCTTTCGCCCATTACTTCTTGTCCTGCCCTCAGGACCTTTGGAGAATAAGATCCTCAGGTACCGGAGGACGGTTATCGTAACCTCCGTGTTAGACTAGACCCAGTGTCCAATTCTCTCCACTGTTCATCCCATGGTTAGTTTCCAGTCCTCTTTGTTGCTCTTTTCTGCACTCTTCATATAAGAGATTTTCATGCTCAAAGCTCTACTTTGATATCCTTGTAGAGGATATCCTTGTAGTATTTTGAAATAATAGATCATCAATTTATTGGGGGTTTTGGTGCCCCTGCCCAATCATTAACAAGTACCAAAACCAAACTAACTTGGTTTAACACTCTTTGTTCCTCAGGCACTGGCAACTGGGGAAAGTAGACTAATCATTGAGTGATAAATATATTCATGAAGTGTTTCTTGAATCAATTTCTAAAGTTTCTGCTATAAATCATTGACACTTAAATCACTAATGCCCAATACTTAGTAAGATAGTCAGGCATTTTTGTCATGTTAGGATTGAACTCTTGTTCACTCCAGATTAAAAAACAAAATCAAAGCAAAGTAATTGGAGAAATAAAACTTTTTTTCAGTTGCAGGTTTGATATTAGAGTTCTCTGATCTTATTTTACTTCATTAATCTATTTGCAGGATGGCTGTGATTTCATGTGCCGATCTAAACCACAGAATGTGCCAGCTGCATATCGTGGTGCTGGTGATGACCAGCTTGGAGAGGAATCAGAAGAGCAAGATGACCACTTGCTGCCCATGTGATCTGCACCTTTTATTTGTGTACAGTTCTTACACAAATGGCATCCAGTCAGTTTTCTCCTCATCTAATTGTCCTTTTAAGCCACTTGCTTTCATTATTCTGCACACTATTTTTCATATTTGTGATATAAATAAATTCTGTGCAAGATTTATGAACTTGAAGCTGTACTAAGGAGTTTTGGACTGACTGCTCAGAACCATTTTCCAAAAGGGAAGGATCGTGTTACAGTGTGAATATACACAGAAAAGAAATAATCCATGGAAGAGGAAAGGTTTTGAAATAATACTAAAAGGTTTTGAGCTACAGTGACTGAATGTACGTATTTCCTACAGGCTTTACTCTTCAAAAACACTGGATTATAATTTTCAATTATGCAGTTACATAATTTTATGTATAACTCAGTGAAGCTTGTCCTTGCTTTTTCAAATCTGTGGAGACACTCTAGACCAAATGGAAATATCTATATTTTCTTAACAAAGGAGAATCGTCCGTTAAGGGGAGGGGAATGTTAGCTAGAAAGGATATTTAAATGGTCTAAATTTAAATGGCAATATTTTAAAACAGATTTAAAAGAGCAGACTAATAATAACTAACACTGCTGTTTTAAACACATTCTGTTTAAAAGCTGGTCTTTCATCTTTCATTACAAATAGGACAGTGCCAGTAGTTGCAAATTATATAGAGTCCCAACAATGAAAAAAGACAGGGTAGGAAACCTCAAAATCTGTGTGGACAATGTTTTTCTGGTTTGGTTGAAACTATTTTAGTATTTGGACTAAATATTTTTAAAATTGGTGAATGTCAATACTTATATATTTATGTTTATAAGTATGAATAGTGTCAAAATTTCTCTCTCTCTCTCCCTCCCCCTCCCTCCATATATATGGATGACAGGTCTGTTTGCTTCAGGGATTTGCTTCCTTTTCTTTGGTGCATGTTGTACTGTTTCTTAACGACAATTCTCAAAATTGCATTTAAAATGCAGTTAGGACTCCTGAATTCACTTGAACTTGCTGGGAATATTAGCTTTTGGGGAAATGAGGGGAAATAAATAGTTACATCTTTACTTGGTCTCTTCCTAATGGAATTGGTGGATCTAAGTGGGAGTAAATCTCCAGGTATATCTATAGGCTATATCTATTCTTACTCCTTTTACAAAGAAGTACTATAGCTGAGATAAGATTTGAGACATAGTATAGCCCTCTTTGCCAGGCTCTTTTATAAGAGAAAAGAAATGGGCCATTACTTATGTCATTTTTTCATAGTAAAGTTTAAAAGATTTTGTATTAAAGAGATGCAACTTTAACATTAAAAATGACTTGAAATTTCAAAATATGTGTATGATTAAATGTCTCCAAACAGTTTGTGAATTACAGCTAAACACTTTTAGTTCAAACACAGAGTCATGATCTCAATGTAGTTTTGTGCTAACTTTTCTTTGGAAGACATTTACACATCCTCCAGGCCTAAATCAAAGGAAAAGAGCAGGATTCAATGGTAGGAAATAGGGCTGGAACAACTCTGATAAGTGCGGGCTAAGTCCAGAAGCTGAAATATACCATATACATTCTTTTGTTTGTTGAAAGCTGAAATAATTTGGATCATAGTAGATATGGATATAGAAAAACAACTTACTGATAGAACTGCACGTCAATAAAGAAAACCTTTCAATGCTGGCATTGTAAACTCTTCTTCTAGTACAAGGTGAGCTTTGCATTTTAAATATTTTGGATAGATATATATTCTACTTTTACAAATAGATCACAAAATCATTTCTAAAATTTAAATTCATGGAATAATACCAAAGCTTGAGAGAATTCAAAACAAGCTGCAAACCTGATTGTGCAAAAGTTGGTGAGAAAAATCAGACAACAGGAAGATTGCAATATTGTTTATGAAGCATTCCTTTTACTGAATAATTTGCTTAATAAACAAAAATAAACAGGCTTTGGACAGAAGATACAAACCTGATAGAAAGTTTGTCCCATATGTGCTCTCATCATAAGGGAAAGGGTAAGATACAAAAACCAAAGAAGACAATTTTTTAAAAAGCAGGATGAAACACTTGGAGCTTCAACTGCGTTGGACTCTCCTTTGGCTCTTGAGTAATTTTTCTCCAAACACCACAAGAGACACAAGTGGAATTAAAAATATTTAAACCCTCTGATGGCATTATCAGAAATAATGTCTTCTGGAGAGTCCCATTAAACCTGGGCCAGCTCTAGTCTTTAATGTTCAATTAATGTTCCCTCCAGTATTCTATATGAAATCAATTTACTACTTACCTTCAATCAACACTTCAATTAGAAAAGATGGCATTTAAAACATTTCTTTACTGATCCAAAGAGAAAAGATGAAGTATCAATTGCTCCCCTGAAAATTGAAACCATGTGGAAAGAATGATCCTACTGGGAGAAAAATATGAGAATCCAGGAACTTGACAGGAAGGATTCACAGCTTCAGCACAGAACCATTTTTTTTTTTTTGCCTTTTTCCGTCAGGAACAATTCATAGCACAGCAGAAGATATTCTATGCTTTTCACAAGATGTTTCAAGGCCTCCAAGGGAGTTCTTCCTTCCTCAAGTATCATCAAGATACAAGCGTGTGAAAGAAATCTTTTCTTGCATTTAGTGTATTCATTACAGTTAGGAAAGAAAGAAAATCTGCATTCCAGTGTTAGGTCTCTTTAAGAATGTTGATTTTGGCACAGATTTTGAGAGCTGGACCTAATTTGATATTCATGGCACTCATGAGATGTTCTTCTTTTAGCAGAAGCAAGGCCTGGCCATCTATCTCCTGGGAGCGAAACTCCTCTGCAATCTCCTGGCAGCCTAATAGAGTCAAGTACCAGAGAGAATTTTGTGAGAAATAGAAACTATACACATATTTAATAGCGTTTATGGATTAACTCCATATTTGTAAGAATCAGAGTTGTGTTTGCTTCCTTTTTTACTTCCCAGCCTGGTCTACCAACCTGGGATTTATTATTCTCCCATTCAGTTCTGACTCGGTTTAGCTTTACAAACTTTTAATACCACACTGGGTGCTCTCACTTGCTGTGATTCACGCATCTTGCATTTGTGTTTAAACCTGGCTCAAAAGCAGTAACTGTGAGAGGGACCTTGGAGTCCTGATGGATGATCACTTAAACAAGAGTTTGTGCAGTGGCAGCCAAAAAAGTTAATACAATCCTAGGTTGTATAAACAGAGGCATGGAATCCAAATCATGTGAAGTAAAAGTATTGCTTTATAAATCCTTAGTAAGACTACACACGGAATACCGCGTTACAAAAAAGATGTTGAGACTTTGGAAAAAGTGTAAAGAAGAGCAACTAAGACAATTAAGGGCCTGGAGACAAAAACATAGGAAGAACAGCTGTAGGATTTGGGTTTGGCTAGTCTAGAGAAAAGGCGGACTAGAGGTGGCAGCATGATAGCAGCATTCCAGTACTTGAGGGGCTCCCACAAACGAGGGAGCCAACTTATTTTCCGAAGCACCAGAGGGCAGGACAAGAAACAATGGATGGAAACTAATCAAGAAGAGAAGCAACCTGGAATTAAGGAGGAACTTCCCAACAGAGAATGCAATTAACCAGTGGAACAGAAGTTGCCTTCAGAAGTTATTGGTGCTTCACCACTGCAGGTTTTTAAGAAAATTAGGTAGCCACCTGCTGTCTGAGATGGTACAGGGTCTCCCTGAGCGGGGGTGGGGGGTGGATTAGAAGACCTCTAAGGTTTCTTCCAGCTCTACTGTGATTAATTATCTTACGGCCCTGCAAAGTCCCCATATTATTTCCATACAAAGATGAGAAGCATAGATAATGCTTCTGTCACTCACTGACAAAACTAGAATTTAATGAGATAAAGCCACTTTCTTAGCTATTAGGTATGTTTGCTATCTTAAGTTATGTATAAAAATAATACAGGATAGGAGCATAAATAAATAATATCCCCTTTCAGAGTTCCTGGATATAGGCAAATTGTATATCTGTTAGATCTATCTAAGGGAAAGATCGCTCCCACAATAACAGTTGTGTGGAACTGTAAGGCTCCTTTTGTGAACCGCCTCCTCTAACACTTCCCTTTGCCCAACTCTTTTTAGGAGGGAGAGGGAGAAGTTAGCTGTTTACTAAATGTCTTGATGAACCTGAGAAAAAGGCAGCACCAAAGCAGGGAAACCCAGTATTTCTCACAATATAGGAAAACGTCATGCCCAAACTAGTTACTATTTCAAATCTACCAACACCTTATTTCATGCCAATATTTAGGTGTCCAATATACAGCCATTTACCCCACTCCTCTTCAGGGCATGGGAGAAAAGATACCAGACTTGCCTTGCAGGGATGCAATGAACTCATATACTTCCTCCACACTCCAGCGACTAGGATTGCTGGACAGGAAAACTGGATTGATACCATGCAAGTCAGAAATGGGCTGAGTCATGCTGGAATTGACAAGGTCTCGCTCCCCATGACTAGATCTCACTGAAAGAGGTCCCGGTGATGTAGGGGAGAGTGTTTCATCATAACTAGAATTATCAGATCCTCTGCTTGAATCTTCTTGGCCCTGCAAGTCCAAAATCACAAAACAGAGCATGAGGAATAAAAACTGTATACGAAGGAAAGAAAAAAAGGATTGTAAAACCTTGTAAGCCTTCTATTGAAAGTAAAAAAAGGGGGTAGCCAACTTATATCATTAAATAGACGTATATCCCTACTCTATGGAACATCTTGGCCCTCAGTCTTTTGGCCTTCTAGAAGACTGTGAAGACACGAGGACTCATGAAGGAGTGGTACAAAACCCTGGGGGTGGCTGGTGCCTTGAGTGTGAGCTTTTTAACTTTTTCTGGTAAGATTTTGATGGATTAAACTAATTAAATAAATGGAAAATTTAAGAAATTAAAATATATAATTAATACATGTACTGATGAACTGAAAAACTGCTATTGTATATGACAGATGTGGGCATTTTATGACCTCTGGGCTAGAAAACAGAAACTAGAGAATGTAAATATAATGGTGATATAAATAATTAATATTATTATAAGATCCCACAGGGTGGGCCTCCTTAGGACGCCGTCAGCCGGACAGGGTCAGAGAGCCTTCGCTGTGGCTGTCCCGACCCTGTGGAATCAGCTACCCCCGGAGGTCCGGACCTCACCCACCCTTATGGCCTTCAGAAAAGCTGTTAAAACCTGGCTGTTCCGGCAGGCCTGGGGCTGTTGACACTATTATGTAGAGTCCAGCCCCAATCAGAATGTATGCGTGTTGAGGAATTTTTAAATTACTTTATTTTTATTTTGTTTTCTTTTCTTGTTTATAGTTTAGTTTATAGTTTATAGTTTTATTGATTTGTATGCCGCCCACTCCCGAAGGACTCCGGGCGGCTTACAAAGAACAAGAAAAGAAAAACAAAATAAAAAATAATTTTAAAATTCCCCAGCACGCATACGTTCTGATCGGGGCTGGACCCTATATAATAAGGTCAACAGCCCCAGGC